TCAGCTTTCTCCTGGCTGTTGTCTGGAGGCCACCCTCAGGTCAGAGATGTTGCCCACACTTCCTTGCCAAGGGCTTCACCAACATGGCTGCTCACTACATCAAGCCCGGGAAGAGAGGATCTCAGCTCAGGGAAGGCCCAGTCCTTCTTTTAAAGGCTTTCATTTGATTAAGCCAGGGCCTCCCAGGGCCTGACCCCCAAATCAACTGATTTAGGGTCTTAATTACAAAATTAGATTGCAAAATCCTTCATCCGTGCATATTCATTAGCTGCAAGCAAATCACAGGTGCTGCCTGTGGGAGGGGATTACAAAGGGTGTAAACAGCAGCGGCAGAAATCTTGAGGCCACCTAGGGTCTGTCGGCCACACGGTCCTTCATCTCATAGAATCCTTTTTTTCTTCGGAATTACTATAACGTCTATGTGGGAGCTACTAGTATGACACTACCCTTTCTGTAATGTTCATCTCATTTGCGTGTATGTGTGTGTGCACATGTGCATTTGTTCTCTCTAACAAAATTATAAACTCCTTGTAGGTCTGTATTTCTCCAGAATTTCTTTTGGGACGCTAGACACATAGTAAGCACTTATTAAATATTTGAAGGATAAAATTAATTAATGACCTACATTACAAAAGCATTCCTCACGGATAAATCCAATGATCACGCACTCATTCAACATTGATGAGAGGCAGCAGAGCAGAGTGACTGAGAACAGGGACCCTGGAGCCAGAATGTCTGGGTTTGAATCCCAGCTCTGCTACCCTCTCTGAGACCTTAGGCAAGTTGCTTATCCCCTCTGCCTTAGTTTCCTCATCTGTGACATAAGTATGATACCAGTTTCTCCTTCATAGAGTTATTATGAGGATGAGGTAAGTTCATAGTTGGGAAGTATTTTGAACTGTGCTTGGCTCATTGCAGTACTATGGTTGTTGATTAAAAATTAAATGCCTACCCTGAGTCAGATGCTCTGCTACGAGCCAGAGAGCACAAACATGAGTGAGACTGAGTCCCTTTATTCACAACATTCACAATCCAAAAGACAGGCACCTTATTTCTATCTCTTTACCCACCATTTCAGAACCAAGAATGCAAACACATGTTTTGCCATTACTGCATACAAAATCCTTAGTCAATATTTAGATAATAGTGAAAGAACATTTTATGAAAAATAGAGAATGTTTTCATTAAAATGTATTCAGAATAGGTAAAACTTTTTTTTTAAATGTATTCAAGAAAGAGTCAACTTTCAAGACAATCCATTTAAAACTGCAGAAGGAGACTCGCAGGCTGCTTAAGAACTTGCATATTTAGATCTCAGGAGTGTGTCTGGATCACAGAGGGGATGACCCCACTAAACCGATGGTGTTCAGTGGTCTGACATTGTTACAGGTGCTTCCCTGTAAGATGCATCTTCATAAACCACATTGCATCCAGAGGAAGATGATCATAATGATGCCTGAAAGAAACCATTAAAGGGACTAGTGGTATTCAACTTGAAAAAGACTAAGCAGGACAATGAGAATTATTTTCCGGCGTGGAAGTTCTCTCCAGTTCAGGAGGAATGATATATTTTGCTCTAGGAGACAATGAGGACTAGATTTCAATGAATCCCAGTTGAGGGCTCTGGGCTGTTTTTCAAAGAGAGAAGATTACTAAAAAGAGCATTGGTTTTGAAGTCAAAGAGGTCGAGTACTAACCCCAATTGCATGGAATCCGTTGTCTTCTAACACTGGCCCCCTAGCATCTCCAGCCTCCTCTCAGGGCAGCATTCCAACTGGGTGCTGCACATCATTTGCAAGTGTCGGGGGGAGAGGAGGGCAGAAGAGAGGTGTTTGGGGGTGTCCTTCGGCCTGGAATGCTTTTCTCTTTTTTTCTTTGAATGCCTAATGAACTTTTTATTTGTCCTTCCAGACACAGCCAGAAGCTGATCATAGTGATAAACTGAATATCACTCCACTTAGAATATCTACCCATTAAGTGTATTTGCCTACTAGAATTATATATTCACCTGTTCCTTACATGGTGAGTCTTTGAGAACAGGGCCATACATCTTATTTATCTTTCTCTTTGCAGCATTTGGCTTCCAAGAGATGAGGTTTGAATAGACAAGTTTTTTCATTAGTGAATATCTCATGGCATGTCTACCCTTGGATCAAAAGCCCTTAAGTGTTGGGAATTCCAGTCACAGCAATTGCTTTTGCTATGGAAGCTGACATACTTTTCTTCATTTTCTTGTCCATTGAACAAATATATTGCCAGCATCATCATGGTAATTTATATAGTGAGAGATAGTGGGTACTCACCAAGTATCAAAGCAGATTAATTTCTTAACTCCTAAGGAAGTATCAGTCAGTGTACCACCAAACCCACAATTTCTTTCCCTTTATTGAACATCTTTTTACTGTAGAAATTTTTAAATTTTTACTTTTTTTTAAAGAGAATTACCTTCACAGGAAGAAGAATGTATATCACTTCTGGGTAGCAAGAGGAGGTAAAAATACAGACAGATATGTAATTGCTTATTCATCTACACACTCTCTGTAGACGGGTACATAGTATTATGGTAACACCAGTTACCCCCAGGAGGAGAGCAGGAAAGTAAGAAGGAGACTTTTCCTTGCACCGTTTTGTATCTTTTGGGGTTGAACCATATAAATTATTTCACTTCTTTCCATACAAACAGAAGCCAATAATAATTTCATGCCGAACACTTTGAAGCCTTTGTTCAAGTGGCTTGTCATGGGGCTGTTACTGTCAAATTAACATGGTTGCAGGAAAATAGAGCTTAAGGACTTGGTCAGCAAGTGGCACTTGTGGACCGTGAGGGAGGAAGTTCAGCTCAGTGTATAACATCGCTTGGGTTTTACAATCATTTTCTATTTTTAAAATTCTTTTATTTTCTTCCCGATTCAATTAACAAGTTTTTATTTAGTGCCTACCCTCTGCCCAGTAGTGTCCTAGGAATTCTAGGAGATATAAAAGAAGCCTACATGAAACAGTTTTTAACGTTCTTGCCAAGTGTGGGGATCACTGTGGAATGGGGTGGCTAGCAAGTTGTGTTGGAAGCAGAGCCTTGAATTGAGGCTTGGAGAGCAACAGAAGGCTTAGACAAAGGGAAGGGGGGCCGGAGGTGCTCTGGGCCAGGAGAAATGGTTTGATGGGGGCAGTAGGGGAGAAGAGAGGAATAAGGATGGTCATAAGAGGCTGAGGCCGATTTAGAAAGGCCCTAAAGGTCAGGCAGAACAGCTTATCCTTAGGGGTCCATTGGGAGTGATAAACCCCAAGGAGACGTAAGCCTGGTGTTCACATGGAGAGAAGAGAGAGCAGAAACCAGAGGCATGGAGACCGCCCTTGTTGCAGTAAGTCAGATGTAAAATGATGAGGGATGAAGATTTGGATTAGAATGGGGGGGGAGGGGGGCATTCAGGAACAAAGAGGAAAGAAAGCATTCATGAGATGTTTCAAAGGAGGAAGTGGCAGGCCTTGATGATAAGCTGGAGATGGAGAAGACTCACACATAATTTCAGTTTTTCTATTTTGGAAAACCAGAGAGCCAGTCATTTTCTCTTTTCTTCGCACACGAATTGACCCCCTCATGGTGTCCAGTTGAAATTCAATTATAAGCAGAATTGATTGATTTTCTTCCATATAGAAACACATGTAATCCTATTTGCCTTGAGCTCCATTACCCAAGCTGAGTCCTGCCTAGGGTTTGTTCTTCCATCGCACTCCTACTTCCAGGATGGCGCTTTCCACTTAGGCCTTGTTTGTCATGTGTATGTGCGGTGTGTAGGTTTATTACCCAGTAGACTAGAAGTCCTTTGTGAGCAGGGACCATGAGTAAGTACTCACTAAGTGTCTGTTAACTGTTGAAGAAAATGAGATCTAAATGAAATGTAACATAAGAAAGCTTTCCAGAAACAAACATATTTTTTAAAAAATCATTTAAATAAAATTTACATAATAAAAATTTCTCTGCTCCAATCACTCAAACCATATGCCAAGGAAAGGCGAAACACCCTATTGTGATGGTGTTAGGGACACAGAATTTTATTCCTTGGCTTAAGTGTTGCCATGCAGTAATAAAAATAATAATGCAGTGTAATAATAAAAATTGCTAATAGGGCTTAGAATGAAACATTTCACACAAGTTACTGGATAGTGATTATTATTATTTTCGGTATGTGGGCCTCTCACTGCTGCGGCCTCTCCCGCCGCGGAGCACAGACCCTGGACGCGCAGGCCCAACGGCCATGGCTCACGGGCCCAGCCGCTCCGCGGCATGCGGGATCCTCCCGGACCAGGGCACGAACCCGCGCCCCCTGGACCGGCAGGCGGACCCCCAACCACTGCGCCACCAGGGAAGCCCAGATAGTGATAATTATTATTATTATCATTTTACAGGAGATGAGCAGGCACAGAAAGGTTAAGAAACTCGCACACGGCGACCCAGCTAAGTAAGCGTTGGCGCTGAGATTTGAACCCAGACAATTTTGACTCTGGAGTTCCCCATCCTTAAGAGCTTTACTTTGTACTGCATTAAGCACACAGCTCTTTTGAAGACTTACAGGTTATTTGAGGCATAACCTTTTTCAGAGGAGGGGGACTTTGGCACCCTGTACTACCAATCAGTGTTTTTCCTTTTTTTATGGGCTATATCCTTAGACGTAAGTATGGGAGGAAGAAATTGAATGTTTGAACTGTTTTCAGAAATGTATAAGAGTAAATGAACAACTCCAGCAATAATAGAATTTTACAGAACACCTAAGAACAACACGGGAATAAAACCCTTTACATGGCACCGAAATAATATCCCCCTCCTCTCATTTTTATTAAAAGCCTTGCTTTATTTGGAAACTCTTAAAATAAGTGGTCATAGGATTAAAAAAAGCCGCGGCGCGCCCCCTCCCCGGCGGCCGGGCGCAGCTGTCCGCACCTCCCCCGCCCGCATTCCAACTCTCTGAGGTCACAGGCAGCCACCGCCTCCCCGGATCCGCCCGCCCGGCCCAGGGGGAGGGACGCCCGGCCCCGGCCGCTCCACTGCTCCGGCCGCGCGTCCTGTGCCCGTCCGCCCGCCTTCCTGCTGCCCCGGCCCCCGGCCGGTTTCTTTGTGCGGCGCTGCCGGCCGGCGTGTCCCTTCTCCGGGCCTCTCCCCTCGCCGCGGCCGCCGCGGGACCCTGCGCGGGGGAATGCTCTGCGGGCCGAGTTCGAGGAGACAGGAAGTGAGGCGTGCGAGCCCCATGAGCGCGCCGCGGCGCGGGCTGGCGTGCGGGCGCGGCTGCGGTGGCCGCGCGGCGGGGCCCCGGGAGGCGGGCCGCTGAACTGGGCGCGCGGCCCCGAGGATGCGGGAGCGGGAGCAGGTGAGGGCGCGGGGCCCGGGCCGGCGGGCGGCGGGCGGCGGGCGGCGGGCGGGCGGGCGCGGGGCCGAGCGCTGGCGTGTGTCCGCGAGCCGGGACCCCGGAGCGCGTCGGCCGGCCCCGGAGTCTTGGAGGATGGGTCCCAGCTCCCAGACCTAAGGCAGGAGCGTAACAAAGAAAAAAGTCTTCCTTTTCCAGGTTCTCTCTGATCTACTTGAGTAATTTCTAAAGGGGTCTTGAACTTGTATTCTGAACTCCTCGGCTGATTGTAGCGGCTTCATTCTGGATCAGAGTTTTAAACGTTTTAGGCATATCTGTGCCTCTTAGAATATTAAGTGCGAGATTTGCTAGGTAACTTTGGCGAGAAGGCGAGTAGGGAAGGACTGTTCCGTGGTGATGACTTGTTTTGGTTTTGGAGTAAAGATTGTTTACTCTGGAAAAAAGAATTCTTGGGTCTGCAAATTCCGACTTGTGATTTCTGCAAATCCTGATTAGATTGGCCGCTCTTGGCATGCCCGTCTTAATTTTCTTTTTTGCTGAGAAAGCCTTATAATAATATGCTCGCAAACACGTTCAAAACACTCCGTGTGCTCCAGGTGACAAGCGCCGTATGCCTAATGGTTGCTGACAGATTTTTTTTTTTTAAGTTTGGGATATGATAGAAATTTTACTCTGAAAGTAGTTGTCTGCTGTTCCTAGCACATTTTATTTTCGAGTTCTACGCATAAATGTTTTGTTCAGGAGAAACATGCGTTTGATTTAATGCTATAGATCTATATATTATTCTAAAAATGTCATATACTCATTTAGTGATTGTTTTATTTGAAAGCATCATTAGCAGAATTACGTGTAGTGAGGACTTTAGCAACAAGGCGGGAAACTACAGGATTCAGAATTAAACTGTATTTGAGGAACTTCTGAAAGGTGATGTAAAAACATTAAAATGAATTCACAAATATCTCGGACTGCCTTTTGAAACCTTGAACAGAATTTAATATATACCTGTTTTTTATTTCATAACAAAGTGATTTTGTAGAGAAACAAAATATCTCCTAGTATTTTCCTTCAAAAGCTAATTATGAATTTTCTGTTTACTTTAGTAGTTAGATACGTTAGAATTCCAGATCCAACTACCTTTCAAATTGTTTCATATTATTTTACACCCGAAACAGACATCCCCCCAAAGCATCTTAAATTTCTACTCCTCTATCCAAACATTCATAACTTTATGACATCATTTGGTAGCAAATACTGCACATAACTGAAAATTAAATGTGTCAGTTGTTAATTTTGTAAATTATTAAGCAGAACATTATTTTTACACGTCTTAATAAACAAAAAGCAAGCTATTATGGATAGATCTTGGGGAAAAAATGCATCTGATACACACACACACCCTTCAGCTTTTTCAATTACATTATAACATCTACCAAAATAAAAGAGAAAACATTGGCTTTTCTTTATCCTTGATGCAGTAAAACATTTCACACTCAGGGACAACTGAAAGTTTTACTCTGTTTGCTTCATCAGAGCTTAAGTTAATGATTAAGTTATATAGTGTAGTACCTACTGCCTACAAGGCATAGTTTTATATAGTGTAGTATCTACTGCCTTCAAGGCAGTGAAGAGAATACCATATTTGAACACCCCCCAATGCAAATTTTCATCTTTCCTCTGTAATTAATCTGTCCTCTTTCCAGTTATCACAATTTCTATGTAAAATTTAAATTCACCATCTAATCACTTGAAAGGGTATTTAGTATATATATGTATATATAATCTTTTAAAATTTATACAAACACTCATAACTTATCAGGCACTTTTCTAGTTGAAAGCTTATTATTTAAAGTTCTCATTTCTTGATTTTTTTTCTTTCATTTTGCCTCAGCTGTCTATTTGGTTTATACCCTGACATAGAAAAGAGCATTGAAAACTGCAGGTGGAGCCCATGTCTTTTCGTAATATCTATTTTCTATGCCCCCCTTTAGTATGGTGCTTTTACCTTACAAAGGTACACAACAAATGTTAACACAATTCTTTATGTAGTTCTAGTTTTCTTTATTTCCTCTGGCCTTCTTCCTCTATTCCTGGTTTTTAACTTTTATTTTTTTTACTATCTGGAGATAACCAGAGCTCAAAACCAAAACAAAATCCAAAAAACAAACAGAAAATTGTGGTTGGGTCCTTATTAGAGATACAGCCATGTATGTAATTATAGCATGCTTGTAATCTCCTTAAGAGCAAGGACGGCTTATTAGGACTCGTCTTAGATTTCTCTAAAGGGCCACTACACTGCCTTGTACTCAGAGACGCAATACACTTTTGTGGAATGGAATTATAAAATGTTAAGTTTGGCAAAGCCTAGTGTAATAGCTAAACTATATACTCTAGCTCTGCCACCCCCCAACCCTGAGTGCCCATCACCTCTGGGGCTGAGACGCAGTAGAAAAAGCAGAAAAGAGCAGAGGACTGGGAATGAGGAATCTGGGATCGGTTCCCAACTCAGCCCGTCCTAGTGTGAGGCTGAGAAAGCCGCTTCTCCCGAGGCCTGGGTTCTGTGTCCGCCAGATGAGAGGGTTGGGGGCTGCCCTTGCCCCTCCGCGCGGTTCCCGGCCCAAGTTCAGGGTAACCAGCCGCGGCCGAGCCTTGCCAAACGATTCATCCTCGGGGGAAGCCTCTGTTCAGAAGATAACGGAGAGTGGGAACCGTCCCGGGATTCTGGAACTATCTGGGATTTTGTCGACTCGTTTAGGGGAACAAAAATCCAGCCAATGTAAAAGTTCCAAGCTGCCGCTCAAGGCCAGTTTGCTGCCGCCCAGGAGGTACCACCAACGGGTGTTGTTTAGAAAGTTTTAAGTCGCGTATTTTGGCGGAGGTCCTGAAGCTCCAAATCGGGATTCAAATGGACCCCACCCAAACCTCTCCCTCGCCTCTGGGGCTCTAGCCGGGTCCTTTAAGTGTTCCCTCCGGCATCAGCGGGAGCCTGTACTCTCCTAGAGCATCCGTCCGGAAACGCGGTCGCAGGCGGAGGGTTCCGGAGCCTCTGCGGCTGTGGGTTGCTCGGGCAACGCCGCCTGCTTTTCCGTGGGGGGAGGACGAGGGAGGAGCCGGAGCTATTCCTAGTCTTCTTGGCTTCACGGGCTTGTTGAGCAACGTCCTCCCCGCATTAACTCGGGAGGGCGTTTAAGGGCCTTGGCCCCCTCCTCTTCTGGGCTGCGGCCCCGCTTAGGTGAAGGCTCACCGCCTCTTTAGGCGTCCCCATCCGGAAAGGGGCCGGGGCCAGGGCCACGCTTTTCAGAACGTCCACGCGTCTGGTGGTAATCCGATAACAAGCGTTTGTAGGGTCTTTTTTAATTTGTTTATAAATAAATCGATTTAGTGACGTAAATATTTATAAACCAGAGAGTTCTACAAATGCTTGTTAAGTGTTCACCTCGTTTGAACCTCACAGCTGCCATGTGTTACAGGGGATTATTCCATTCGGGTTCAGGGTTAATTTGCCTAATTGGGACTGAGACTTGAACGTAGCTCTTCTGGAGGTTTTTTGCAATTATCTCACTTAAGGACTAAAGAACCCTAACATTTGGAGTATCGGGGAGCCAAAAAGAGTTAACTATGAAAAAACAAAACTTATGTAAAATAGAAGGAGGACCACTAATGCTAGCTACTAAATTTGGGGTTATAGTAGTGTCAGCCATTATCTCATTTAATCCTGAAGTTAGCCACACGTTGTCACTACTATCTGTGGGATTGAGTGAGGGGTGGAATCTGACCCAGGGCGTAACACAGCTCTGATGATAAACTTCCGCACTGCCTCCCAGATCCTGCTAATGCCTTATTTTTCCAGAAGAGAGGGAAAGCTTAGATACAGCTTTATTAATTTTTATTTTTGAAAACAAAGCCCAGATTTGCTATTGCCTATGTAACCGGTGTTCCTCTTTCCCCAGCACTGGCGTGGGTGCTCCCATCACCTGGTCTTTGGAGACTCAGTTGCTTTTTAATGGCGGCAGCAGCTGCTGGGTGAGCAGCCGGAGACTGTACAGTACTCCTCCCTTCAGGACAGGATTGCTTTCTCTCGCCATTACCACCGCTGGATTGGTGGCGGTGCTTTTCCCTTTTCACCGCTCCAACTCTTGAAGGGAGAAGAAGATGCCACTGCCATTTGGATTGAAACTAAAACGCACGCGGCGCTACACGGTATCCAGCAAGAGCTGCCTGGTTGCCCGGATCCAGCTGCTCAACAATGAGTTTGTAGAGTTCACGCTGTCCGTGGAGAGCACTGGCCAGGAGAGCCTAGAGGCTGTGGCCCAGAGACTGGAGCTTCGGGAGGTAAGCCCCAGAAAAGGCTGCAGGCTTCTCTGGGCGGGCTTTGTTCCTTACTTCCCAACTACTATCGTGCACGCTGTCTTCTCAAAGTATGAGCCTGTAAGCCCTTCTCCCCACCAGGAAGGAATAATACAGAGCAAAGAGGTCTTTCCTTGGGTGTGCCCTGTAAGAGAATTACCAATGCCTGAGTTGTGAAAATGTTTATATGTTCCCCCAAAATGTTATCCCGAATGAGATAGGAATGTATTTTGGAATCTGAGTGAAGAAGCCATCTTGGAAATGGATCCTTTCAGCCCCCCCCAGCCATCCAGCTGACACTCAGCCAAGTCATTCCCAAATTCCTGACCCACAGAATTGTGAGCAAAATAAAATGGTTGTTTTAAGCCACGTTAAAAAAAAAAAAAGGAATGCATTTTGGGTTATCCAAGTAGTTCTGGTCTAATGGTGTAATGCCACATGGGTCGTCCTGATCTAGTACAGTTTACTGACTTCATTCATTCATTCAACATTCATTGATTGTTTTGCACAGGCCAAGCCAAAATTCGAGAGACATATTGCCCCGGTTTGAATTCTGGTTTCTTCATCAATTAGTTGTTTAACATTACGTGAGTTATGTGACCTGTCTGAGCTCTGGTTCCTTCATCTGAACCATGGGATAACAGTGGTGCCTGTGGTTGTGATTTAATGTGCATGTAAAGCCATAGCTCTAATAACTATAGTCTGTTACAGTAATCATAGGGAAGTTTGCCCTGGAAAACCCCTAATCCAGTCTGTAGGAAGTTGTGAAGTCCTCAAGTATCCATACAGTGTCTTAAATTCAAAATGCTGTGTAAGGCCTGTGAAGAAAAGAGCTCTAATTAAACCCAGGTCCCTTCCAGTCTTTGGTTGCCTGGTTCTGGGGTAAGAGAAAGATGGAAAAACGGGTTATTTCACTTAAATGCCTATGTTGTAGCCTTGACTGGAAATCCTGCTAATGGTGTAGTTCATAAAAAGTCAGGAATAGATAAGCTGTGCCCCTGGTGAACATCCATTCATTTGATCAGTCTTTATTAAAGACTTATTAAGTGCCAAGCTCATACGTACTAGGAGCTCACCCTACTGTTGATACCAGTAAGAAAGCAGGCGTGATGCATGCGATGATGGGGGAAGTAGAGGGTGCTATAGACAGCAGGGAGAGGCAGCAAAGGGGAAGGCTTCCCAGGGCGAGTGATGTCTGAGCTGGGACCTGAAGATGGGGCAGGGTGGGCCTCTCAAGGGCTGGAAAAGACTATGCCAACAAAGGAACTGCACAAGGCTCAAGACACAGGCAGAGGAAAGGTTGTAGAGCAGGGGCTACCTAATGCGGGGTTCTTGTTAAAGGGTTTGGGCTTGTCCTGAAAGTAGTGGGGAAGTTAGTGAAGAGTTTTTAAATAGGCGTGTGGTGTGATTGTTTTTATGAAGCGTGAACCCTTTGGAGAATGACTAGAAAGGAATAGAGTTGCGGTTCAGATGGTAGTCACTTGGGTTTGGATGGGGCTGGAGAGAAGTGAGTGGCATCTGGAGATATTCAGGACCTACCTATCAAGTAATGGGGAGGGACTCGCCAGGGTCCAGGTGGATCCTAAGGTAAATGGTGGGGACTATATAGCTGAGGGAAGACACACAAAAGGAAGAGCAGGTTTGAGGGGAGCTGGGAGAGGTGTGTGGTGAGTTCATTTTCAGACGTACTGAGTTTGAGGTGCCAACTGGGGACGTTGAGCAGGTAGAGTATGTGCAGGTCTGGAGTGCAGGTGAGAGATCCAGGCTGGAGGAAAGAGATTTGGAGATCCTCAGCCTAGGCCAGTTAAGGGTATGGGAGAGGGTATGAGAGAAGAAGACGATGTAGCATACTCCTTGGGGTTGAACAGAGGGAGAGCCTTAGAAGGAAACTAAAATGGAGCGGCCCAAGGAGAAAGTAAACCAGGAGCGCCGACCTCAGTGACTGGTCCTGCCTACTTGCATCCATTCCATCTTTTTTGCTTCCTTCACCCATTTTTCCTTTTTTCCTATTTTGGTTTCTTTTTCCTGTAATTTCTTCCTCATGCACCAGGTCTGCGTACAACCACTAGAGTCAACTGCTTGAGGAACTTTGGTTAATTTATTTTTGTACCCAAAGTACTACACGTGGAATGGGCTTAATAAATACAGGTTGAACTGAACCCCCAGGCATTGCTTTGCTTCTCTGTTAGTCAAGAAGCCCAGAGAAGTTGCCACCCCTTGTTTGAGGTTATCAGACTCAGGAACAAGCAGCTTCATACAGCTGTGGGTATATAATGAGACGGATTTTTTTTTTTTTTGTGGTACGCGGGCCTCTCACTGTTGCGGTCTCTCCCGTTGCGGAGCACAGGCTCCGGACGCGCAGGCTCAACGGCCATGGCTCACGGGCCCAGCCGCTCAGCGGCATGTAGGATCTTCCCGGACCGGAGCACGAACCCGCGTCCCCTGAATCGGCAGGCGGACCCGCAACCACTGTGCCACCAGGGAAGCCGAGACTGATTTTTAACAGAAGGGAAGAGTGCTCTAAATGGGAACAGGTGTGGTCTCTAGAAAATCTCTTGCCCCTGGACAGGCCATCCCACTATTTCCAACATTTAAGGACAGTCATGGTTAGAAAGTTTGTATAGCAAACTTTTCAAAGCTCCAGAAGCTCTGCTCTGTAGCATGTAAACAGATGGCTTAGGCCCAGGCCTAATCTTGCCCAATGACTGTTTAGAAATCATCTGAGTCAGGGCAACACCTGTTCTTAGTTTGTGTCCATACATCACTTAGGAGATTCATACCAAGAGAGAGTGGTATGTTATCTTGCAGTGTTCTCCCGTCAAGAAGACTCAGAATTATCATAGCATGTAGATTTGGCTGATAAGCTTTGCTACTGCCCAAATTTAAGCTGGGGGGAAAAATCTTTACTTTCCTTGCTTCGTTGAAGAACATTTCACTTCTATTATGACAATTATAAGGGCTATACGATAATACCATTGTAATGCTGTACCTGGCAGCTTCAACTATATGGGTAATATTTTATTGCTTAAGCTGAATGTGTGGTTAAATGAGGCTTGTCAGTCTTCATTGTTTTTTGACTGTGTGAGGTACTTGATAATACATTAAGGAACTACAAACAAAAAGGTTAATATATTTGTATCCAATATAGTTAACTTAGATTGTCAACTTTTTTCAAAACCCACCATATTTGAACTGTGGAAAGTGGCTTTTTAAAATGGGGGGAAAAATGATTGCTGCAGGAAAATATTGCTGGTCATTACAGCACCGTCCTCTCAGAGCTGTTGAAGTTCCTTGCATATCATTCATTGAGTTTCATAACACTTTTTCAAGAGAAGCTATGGGAGTCTTTACAGAATTTAAGGGGAATTAGAAAACTTTCTAATTTTGAAAGTATATGTTAGAGAGGGTTGATGGAGGTGGTGAGAGAGGAGTGTATCAGCTGGGCATAACTACTCCCATGGGGCAGTGTGTCCTTGAAAGAATATCACAATCTAGAATGAGGTGGTCAGCCTTAAGAACCTGTTTCAGAGAGTAAGACCTGCGTTACCCCAGCTCCTTGAGAATTTGTAAAACCAGGTTGCAAGTTCAGTAATTTACGATGAGATTTGGAACTACCAGGGGCCCCAAGAATGTGTACCCTCTGGCCAGGCCATGATCTCCCTTCAGGCAGGCCATGTGGAAGCTGGAGCAAACCAGAAATTGCTTGGTGAGCCTGGAATCAGAGAAGGGAAATTGCCCAGAAAACCTTCCATATCTTCATAAGGGGAGTAGTACTGCCTCACGGACCAGACAAGTTCCTCTGTGTATCCTTTCTGGGCTGTGCTAGGGTGGGCAGTGCCTCTACTGGCGTCTTGAGAAGGCTGTTTAATAGAGTGGTTAAGACATTTGCCAGTTGGATTAGAAACACCTGGGTTTGGATCCCAGCTGCCACTTACCAGTTGTGTGACATTGGGCACCTTACTTAATTCCCCAAGTCCAATGGTTTTTCATCTGTAAATTGGGGATGATAATAATGTCTATTTGACAGTGGTTGTGAGGATACAATCTTAAATGTAAAACATTTAATAGAGGACCTAGTATTTAGGAAACTCAGTAAGTGTTATTCTTCAGCACTGTTATTGTTATTTGTGACTCCCATTTCCACATTGTGGTGACTGACCTCTTCAAATTAACTCTTTTCTTGCTTTTGTAAATATCTTTGTTTCTTCCTTTTACTAAGAGATGAATACATGCTTGTTTTATAAAATGTTCTTATAGTACAAATAAGTACAGCAGCCACTGGTAATTGCATTTCTTACATTGCTAAACTTAAATTTCTAGCATACCATTGTAATTTAGCAGTCATATTTGAACCTCTATTTTCATGCCAGCTGAAATTAATTTGTACAATGTCACTGCCTCATTGCCCTCAAATAGAGCTTCAGTAAGTTTTTACTTCTCTGATAGGTTTTACTTCACTGTTTCTTCCCTCTTGCCCTCAACCTAACCCCTAGGATTTAAACAAAAAAAATTTTTTTAATGAGATTTTGGATTAAGGTTTATATCTTTTCTTTAGGGTATGTCTTTTTCAAGAATTCTTTTAAAATCTTATATTACATTTGATAATCACATTTTAATCATGCTGTCATGGGTTTTAATTAGATTCATTGCAAAATATTATTTCTTATATATCTTAATCTTTATCTTAACGTCCTTATTCGGCTTAAATTTACATTTGGTTGGAGTTTTTATTTAAAGTTTTAAAATCTTCAGTTAGGAAACAGGGACATTTTAAAAATCCTCAAACCTTTTGGGAAATTCCCTGACCATCCAGTGGTTAGGACTGGGCGCTTTCACTGCGGTGACCTGGGTTCGATCCCTGGTCGGGGAACTAAGATCCTGTAAGCCATGTGGCGTGGCCAAAAAAAAAAAAAATCCTGGAAACCTTTTGACGGTAACTTTATCGTGCTTCTGCTATGATATGATAACACACACATTATGTGTTA